TTTTCTCTGTCTCTTCCGAGCTCAGAGGTGTAGGGCCTTGTTTCTGGAACTTTTGTGATTTTTTCGCCTCGGTTCGTTTCGTCCGAGGTGGGGGACGGTCAGGTACGTCTTTTGGGGGTTCCTTTTCGTACTTCCCCTGATTATATGGGTCCTCTCGGTTCCCATATCTTTGCGTCCTACGCCCACCCCTTTTACGATAATCACGTTCATCCTCTGAAAGAGGAGCTTTTGTGTCCCAGCGTGCACCTTCAAGACGCGGTTTGTTAGTTTGAACAGACTGTTTTTTCTCACCTTTTTTAGGAGGAGGCGGCGAAGCACGCAGTCCTTCCAGTTCAAGATAGAGGGGTTTAACCTTTACACCAGGAAACACTTCTATGGGCGTCTTAGCATGAGAACATGCCTCGAACACATTCACAGCACACTATTTAATCTCATTGATGGATTTTTCTCTGAAATTTGCCATCATTTGTACTGATCGTTTAAAATCAGTGTGGAGATTTTTGCTGAAAACAAATTTTAAACCTTCTTCTTCCTCCATTCCGGTTTCATTTCTGTTACCAAAATAAGCTTGGAAGATTCTTTTGTAATAAACTTTTGGATGTTCATTCTTGCCCTGCGTGACCTTGTCAGCAGCTGGGAAACCAGCAGGTCCCATGCAGGAGTCGCACTCTCTGATCAAAGCTTCACACAGAAGGTTGTAATCCCTTCTCGTTGTATCAGGTAGACGCTCGATGAAGGTGAACACCTCTCTGTCCGAAGTGAGCCTTATCAGACTGATCTTATCCTCAACCGTAGCATTAGGATAACCTCTCAATCTGAACTCAAGATCTTTCAGGTACGCTTTTGTTCCAGTTGAGCCCATTGGTCCCGGTACAAAGCGTTGTACATATTTTGAGATCTTTTGCAAATCATCCATTGAAGGAGACTGTATCAATGGTCTCACTTGCGTGGTTGGTAGTGCAACTTGGTGCAGGTCTGCCCCTACCACCCGAGATGGGGGTGGGGGTGACAGAATGGGATTAAGAGTAGGAGGTGCAACAACATCTTTCTGGGGTGATTGTGGGTGACCCGGACCCTGACCTTGTTCGTCTTTGAGTTCCAGACCAGCTCGCCCCACGTCAGAAATCTTGTTTGTTGCCGTGGCTAGATTCTCCTCACAAGCTTTCAGGCGTTCCTGTGATGTCTGACATTCACTTTGTAAACGTACACAATGTTGGAGTAATGCCGCTTTTTCCATTCTGCATTCGTCAAGTTGTGCTTTAAGCACATCTATTTCAGCTTTGCAGCGGGAAACTTGTGACTCTGTCACAACGTGATCCCGTCTTAATGCAAGGTATTCTCCGGACAACTGCTCTTTAGCATCCCTGGCTTCAGATAGTGATGCATCAAGTAACTGTATTTTGCTGTTCATTGAATCAACTTCTGCACGTGCATCTTGCTGTGATTGAAACATCTGTTCAGACTGTTTTCTTGTGAGGACCTCGTGTTCGCTTTTAAATTGAAGGAAGTGTTCTTCAATTTCCTGAACCACCTCTTTTTCACTGTCTAACCTTATTGCAAGGTCATCAGCTTTCTCAACAACCGTATAGAATGATTCTTTCAGCAAAATTGCAATTTTAGCCAGCTGATCATAACTTGACTTTGTAATTTCTGTAGAGGTCACACTCCCTGCAACCTCCATCAGATTGTCCACTAACTCTTTTGGGTTCATGCTGTTCACCTGTTTATCATATGGATGTAAGGATTCTGTCAGCAGTGCTAACGCTTTCTCTAAACAGTCCTTCATCTCATAAGGATCAAAATCTTTTTCTATCACACCTGTCATGGTATTCACTGTGTAGCACTTTATCTGGTTAAAACAGTTGCCAGCTTCAGATATTTTACAGGTAAATATTTGTATTCAAGTGTCATTGAGTTACACACTATTTTAAGCTCTGGGTTTACACAAAAGTACTGTTATAAGTCAACTTATTCAAATGTGGGCACCTATTTCGTAGGTTTTACCCCAATTCATGAATATTCAAGTAAATGCTTCTCTGCAGTGTTACTTTTTATGTGCTTATTTCTTAACAGATACTAGATTACCAAGCTTCTCAGTGTTTCTTACTCTAAAGCACTGAATTTTTATAAACCTGCAATTTTTCTAAAAAGTCTCACAGCAACATCAGTTTAAAAACGCTTTTTAAACCGTTCACTTCCATAAATTCGCTATTTTAACAGTTACTCATAGAACCAGGTGGTGAACAGAAAAAGAAAAAATGTTATGAGGAGTTTCAGTCTTTCTTCAGAAAAACTGTTATACTCCTCTTTCACAGCAGGTGGCGGTGTTAGCTTTCTACCAGCAGGAGCCTATGACAACTTCCTGTGGACGTTCTGTTGACATCCTGTCGTTAGCCGCTTAGCTTAAAATTAGCTTCGGCTAAACTCGGTTAAATCAACATTTCTGAACGGATTTCAAGCTAAAACGTGGCGTTGTTTCAACAAGCACGACTTCTTTGCATGAACATGAGTTTTAGGGACATGTGGCAAATTTTATTTAGTGATTTTAAGCACAGAAAAGCTTCGGTGCAACCGAGCTTTACAACCTGACATCAGAGGAAGTGATGTGACACGTCACTCATCCGGTCGTTAGCTGTTAGCTTAAAATTAGCATCGGCTAGCGTGGTCCAAAAACACTATTTAATGACGGATTTCAAACTGAAACGTGGCAAAGTTTCAGCGATTAGGCTTCAAAGAAACGGAGCAGCGGATCAGAATGCAACATTAAAGCGTTTTTCAACTTTAAAAAGCAGATTGAAATTCCCTATGAAAACGAGTTTCATTTCCGGGTCACGTGACTGAATCTACCAATGACAGAGCAGCAACGGGGTGGGTTCTTATATCGCTGACTCAGAGGAAGTGACGCAGCCACGTCACTCACTTCTCAGTGAATCAAAGTGTTCCACAGCAGCTGATTTCAACCAATCACGGATCGTTTTTCCAGCTAGCGTGCAGCATTAGCCTGAACCAGTCCGGTCAACTTTTCGTCTTTTAAACTGTCAAAATGTACCATTTACTGTTAAAAATGTAACGAATCAAGCTCTGAGCTGCACGGAGTCGGCGCTCCGGTCTCAAAACGTCTTTCCAACCATTTAAAACAACTCGTTCGAATTTAACAGAACCGAACCGGATCAGAACCGGGTCGGCAGCAGAACCTCCGTCCGTTCAAACAGAATAAAGCGTTTTAACTCAAACCCAGCTTATGTTACACAACAGATGTACAATTTCAGCTTTCATAAAGACATTTTGACTCACAATTTCAGCCTTCAAAACATCACTAGCTGCAAGAACCTTGCTGTATTTTCTCCAAGCGTCGCAGCTGCGCTTCACACAGCTACAATCTGCACGTTCTTCACAGCAGAATCTGCAATTTTTTTCTTTCATGCCAACATGTAAAATCAATTGTTACACGAATACACAGTCCATTTATGAACCTGTAACGGGCCACCAGATGTAGATGAACATATGCATGAGATATATTCATAAATTAAATGGATTCTTTAATTTTTCTGGACTGTATATAATGTGCATTGAATTTAATAAAATGTGGACGGAAACTTTAATTATCTTTGACTCACCAACGACAGTGGGTCATTTATTAACAGA